ACTACATATAAATCCAGTGGGTGCTGAGCTCCTTTAGGTGCTGGCAGTGCATGAAGACTCTTGTGTTCACTCTTGCACTCGGTGAATTTCTCTCAGACACTTCAAAGTTCGCAGAAGCAGCTCCAGAAAGTAAATAAACCGTAAATAAATAAAGACCGTCGGTTCGTCTGGTGACGTACGGCAGACGTGAACGTTTCCAACAACCAGATAAAGTTTGTTTAAGAACCATGATGTTCTGACCGGTTCCACTTCCTGTGTTCCTGCTTGGTGCAGATGGCCGAAGGCAGATGCAGCAACAACAAAAACAACAGCAGCAGAAAACTGGAGTCGGCCAAATCACAGATACAGACGGGTGAGAAAGTCTCAGTGAAACGCTGGCACACAAAGAACCAAACAGAACAAGTGCTTCTGCAGAGCAGCTTCCTGGACGGACCGGATCCAGCTTTCAGGTTCAGACGCTGTTCGTTCTTATTCAAACTGGTGACATGAATGCATCTCCCTCCTCTGGTACCGCTGAAGCCTTCTGCTCCTCTGGTGGTCAAACACAACCACACTCAAACCACAACACCTCATCAGCCACCGAGACCTCCACAACCTTCACATCAGCGTGGGGCGGTTCTGCATGACCCCCGTCCGGCCCGGTTCTGTCCACGACGTGCACAAAGAGAGAACCAACTTGAAAAAGGCCACCGTTACGTAACGCCGACTTCCTGCCAGATTGATACGTGTTTGATTTCTTTATTTTTTGTGCACGAGCCTGAGGGCTGCTCACTCAACAACAACCAGCAGAGAAGATGCAGAAGAAGAAGAAGAGTTGGACGGGTGAAGGTGAGATGAAACAAACACACACATGAGGGGATGAGTTAGCCGCCGATGCTGCTGCAGCTCCCACCGAGGGAAAAAAAAAAACTAATCTTGAGATGTGACTGTGTGCCTACATGTGTGTTTTCTATGCAGTCGGGAGAACAGGAGTCCAGCAGCAGAAACACAGCGCCCCCAAGTGGCGGCAAGACGGAACAGACTGCAGCAGGACGGAGGAGGAGGAGGAGGAGGAGGAGGAGGAGGGATCATTTCAGGTCAACAGTTTTTATGCCTTTAAGACTTTTAACTGGGGAAAAAAACCCATAATAAGAAGAGTTTCAGACTCCCGGCGTGCAGCGTTGGAGCTGCTCAAAGTGAGAGGAAGTAAAATATTCATGTTGTTAATCGTCTAAAAGCAGTTTGGTTCAGTCTGCAGCTGCACACAAAGAATCACAGCAGGACTAAAGAACATCTAATAATACGAGTCACGTTCTGCCTCCAGGGCTGCACATACAGGATTTATTTAAGATAAGATGATCATAATTAGTTTTTTTCTAATTGTTATTATTAAAATTATTGTCATTATTATTTTTTATTATTGATATTATTATTATTACTGTCATTATTGTTATTTTTTATTATTTTATTATTATTATTTCATTATTATGATCATTATTATCAGGACTATTATTTATTGTTATTATCACGATTATTGTAATTAATATTATCATTATTTTTATTATTACTGTCATTATTATTATTATTATTATTATTATTATTATTATTAGCTTTTTAATTCATATTTTTTATTATTATCATTATCGTTATTGTTGTCATTATTGTTATTATTTTTATGATTATTTTATTATTTTTTCATATACCTCTGTGTGTGTGTGTGTGTGTTCTGGCCTGTTTGTCTTCACACCACTTGGTTCTGCTGCAGCCCGGTTTCCCAGAACCGCGGCTCCACGTTTGGTTTTCAGGCGTGTGAACCCGCGAGGAGCAACTCGATCGATGCGTTCGGCTGGATTCTCGTTATTTTGGTTTCACTTTCCCACTGAAGCATGAATCATCGCTCCGTCCTCCTGCAGCCAGTTTTAAACCTGAAGCAACATCAGAAAACAAAACCCACGTGACCCAGTTCTGCTGTCAGACGGTTGGATCTGATGGATTTTATTTAGTTGTCACTCTTATTTGAACCCATTTCATTTACTGATTTCTCTGTTTATTCACTTATTTACACATTTTTATCTGTCCGATGTGTCGTTTAATATTTTTCTTGTTCTGTTTTCAGAAATTCTGACATAATTCTACCTAAAATCTACTAATAGATATTTTATTTTATTTTATTTATGAACCTTTTTTTGTCTAAAAGGAGGCAAATGTTTGATTGCTTTAAAATAAAATGTTTAAAAACTGTCAAAAGAAAATCTCTGAAACTCTGACACTTAATTTGATTTATTATTTTTTCTATTTATTCGCCTATTTACATATTTTAATCTATTTAATGTTCAGTTTGTTGCTTCATTTTTTTTTATTTTCATGTTCTGTTTTTATGAATTTCGACTTCCCCTTTTCTCTTCACCTATATATTATTATTTTTAATTTTTAATTTCATTTATGAGCCTTTTTTTGTCTAAAAGGAGGCAAATATTTGATTCCTTCAAAATAAAATGCAAAAAAAAACTGTTAAAAGAAAATCCAAACGATAACATAAAACTGTCTCTTTGCTTTTTCTTTAAACTCTGTGAGACGTCATTTTATTTATACTATTTATTTTTCTATTTATTTGCTTATTTACACATTTTAATCTATTCACTGTCCAGTTTATTACTTATATATTATAATTATATTATATTTATATATTACTTTATATTTTAACGATAGATATTTGTTTTATATTATTTCATCTCTTTACCTCAGGTTTTTATTTCTAACATGATGTTTTTTTTATTCCTTTCATCTGTGAAGCGTTTCGTCTGTTTCTCATTTATATAGAAAACCTGCTGCATCAATAAACCGACTGACTGATTGACTGAAGAGAGAATTTAGAAATCTGCACTTTTCCGTCTGTTTGTCATAAATCCAACAGCGTGGATCGAATACGCAGAAGAAAAACAAACCCTGACTGTTTGTCTGCCTGGGAGCTAAACAGAGAGCTCTTCCTGTCACACTTGACAGCCGGCGTCACATTACCGCCGGAAACTTTCTGCACCGCCGCTGGATTCTTCTTATTTATTTCTTTAACCGGAGCATCCCTAATTTAGCTGCACACGTTGTTCGCTGCATTTTTAGAGTCTCCGGGTCCCTGCTGCTGGAGACGCAGCGTGATGCTTCACAGCAGGACGCCGCCGCCGCCGCCGCCGCCGCCGCCGCCGCCGCACATCCTCAACCCTCCAAGAGCTACTGACAAAATTAACAAAACCTCATCTTTAAAGTGTGACATTCCCTCATAATGTGGTTGTTCTAACAGGTTCCCAAAATGAACTAGTCGCAGCAACCAGATGATGAGAAAAACTAAAAATCCGACACGTGACAAAACTTCAGAGACGTTCGGATGAACTGCAGGATGTGTGGAAGTGTGACAACCAACCAATCAGCAGTCCAGCAGCTCCGTGAGCAGAAACAGGCTCAGACTGTTTCATCTTTACTAACGGGACCAGTCAGACCTCACAGCGGACTCACGTCTTTGAATTAGCAGTTTGAAAATAACCCATAATGTGCTCACGTGTCTCCAGAATTATGTTTTTTGAGATGGTTCGTGTCTCGGTGGCTGTTTGACTTTTGGTTTTAGTGTCTGTGGCTTTAAACATAGTCGAGCTTTCTTTGAATATTGTGTACAAATATCGCATCGTCTTAGACCCATTTCATGTCTCTAATAGTTTAATTCTGTAAAATGAAACACAACGTGGTTTTAAAAGGAGGCTACATGCTGTTAAATCAGACAGAAAACAGCAAAAACCACATCCAAAGTGGTTTTTTGCAAATTATTCTCACATTAACTCATCACACCAGGATGTGTCTCACTGCAAAACGTACATTTATTTTTTAAACACCATTTTTTTCTCCGTCTTTACAGATTCAGGAAATGTTTGTTTAAAAAATACTCTTAATTTGTCAAATATTGTGTTCGATGATCCGACTCTAAATGTAAAACCTTCTTTATGTCGGATTGTCCAGACGGAGGTCCAGATACGAGGAGGGCTTGATGCTGGAAGGCTCATTAGTTGTTCATTATTGTTCATAGTTGTTATAATAACTAGTAGGGCTGGTCCCAGTAGAACTTTCTGCTCTCTGGATGTTCAGGCCCAATTGATGATGAATATCAGAATATTCGGTGCGGTCGGGGGACACTTCCACCCCGGGGCAGCGCTCTGACGGGGTGGAAGTGTCCAGAACACACAGGCAGTACTTGGCTGCTGATGCTAGTTTAGTTAGCGCTCACACTTCTGTTTCCTCCATCGGTGGCGGCGGGGGAGTGGCAGATACGCTCCACCGTTACCATCCATGTTTACTTCCATAAACACTGAGCACGCTCGCTGCGTGTGACGTCGTCGTATCCTCTTCTGCGCATGCGGGACACTTTTGGGTCGTATGAAGTTCACACAGCAGATCACATACAAGTCGCATTGAAGTGGAAACGTGAAGGAAGTCACAAAGAAATCCTCATTGAGCATCAAGTCCTGCAGTGTGAACGTAGCCAATCTGTGGGATTGTTCAGTCAGATAATACGCCGTCATCCTGATTGGTGACATTAAATGTCATGTCGGAGTCACAATCCAAGGCTGTCGCTATGTTAAGGCTGTTTTTATGGGTTCTGTTGGTTTTTCCTACAAACCTGTCAGATAGCAGGTTTAGGATTGTTAAGGGTCGATGATCGGGTCACGACTGCAGTCATTCCAGTACCATGTATGAGGTTGTGTAGTCAGGTCACCATTATATAGAAATCTCGTCCTGAAACTGCTGTTGAAGCGTCTGCAGGTTTATAGCTTCTGTTGCCCCGCCCCCTTCAGGAAGAAGACTCTGTTTTGTCTTAGCATCCCTACCTGGGCTGCCTGCACTGTGTCCTGTGTTTTCTGGATCATTTACAGCCTCCTGGTGGAAACCCAGCGTGACGTTTCACACCTCAACCTCCACAAACAGTCTGTTCTGACTCTAGTTCCCGTGATGGCCCACAGGCTTCCTGCTGGTGTTCCTACCTGTCTGATGGGCTCCGGGACTCGGTACCGGCAGCAGGCGTGCGTGAGGCGGACGGCGGTGTCCAGGCTGATCTTGTGGCCCACCGACACGTACACCGGCTTCACGCTCTTGTCGGAGCTCCGCAGCGCCTGGAACCAAACAGAAAGGTCTCGTGATCACTCGGACTTTGAAGCAGCGCCGCCGTTTAAAGCGTCTGTTTGTATTTTGCGTCCTTCGTCGCACCTTTCCGAGCACTTTGCCCGAGGCGGCGGTGAGCGGGAAGCTGTCTCCTCCTTTCTGCAGAGCAGCGATCTGAAAAGAAACGAGAATCAAAGTCAGGGAGGAAGAACGGCGAGAAACAAACATCACCGGATGCAGACAAACCGTTAAGCCGCCGCCGAGGCTTCGCTTTGACCTCAACGAGACTCAAACGCGTCTCTGCTTTTGACGAAATGCCTTCATTTGTCTGAAAACATAAACGGATGCGACCAAGAAAACAACAAAAGCGTCGACTCTGCTGAACGCTGTTGTCCTTCAGCCTTCCTACAACACAACTCTGTTTAACTCTGTTTCCACGGTGACGTGTCAGACTCCACTTTCACATCCAAACTCTTGACAAAATGCATCTTTTACCGTCTGAACACATGAAACGAGGCGAAGCGTCAAACAAGAAACATGAAGGAACCGTCCGACATGTTGGAATAAAGCTTCAAGGAGCCGAAATAAAACATTGTGCAGATTTTTATTTCATTAATTAGGAACAGGAAGACAGTCAGTGTAACAGCTGCTACAAACGGCCAGCTTCTCGTAAAAACAACACCTTTAATCGCACCGTTCTCAGTTCCCTAATTTCCGGCAACACTGATTCAGTAACACTCCAGCCCAGTAGGTGGCGCCAAAGCACCTACGGTTTGCTTGCCAGTCACGAAGAAGATGCACAGGATGGACTGAAAGTTTGTGGTGGAAGACGAGAAATTTGCATAAAAGTTGAGTTGTCGGGTTCTTCATTGCGGCCGCTGAGCGTCGAGCAGAGGTCCGACATCCAGGACAGATTTGGCGACTGCGTGGCTTCTTTCTTGCCTCAAATCTTTTACGAAACACCGTTTTCAAAATGGTTTTGGGGGCTTTTAAACTGAACAAACGTCAAAACCGGGAAATGTGACGCTTAAACGAGATTCACATATGAACTGAACAAAAAACTTGCCACGAAAAAACTAGCGGTGGGACTTTAACGTGTTCATTTCGACAGCTTGATTTCTAATACGTTTTAAAAAAATAAAGCTTTTAATCGCACCTTGGTCAGTTCCCTAATTTCCAGCAAGACTGATGCAGTAACACTCCAGCCCAAAAATTCAAAAGCACCTAAAATTCGTTTGCCAGCCACAAAGAAGATGCACAGGATGCACTGAAAGTTTGTGGTGGAAGACGAGACGCATCGCTTGGCTTGTTGGGCGGAAAGTTTGTTTTCTTATCGAGGCCTGATGCTGCTTCGTGTCCACACGGGAGATTTTACCAAAGTTTGCCAAATTTGCATAAAGCTGAAGTCAAGTCGACTTTATGCAAATGAGGGCGACGCTTCGCCTCGTTGCTGGAAACTCCCCGCGATGTGACAGCGTGGTCGTGTGCAAAAGATTCAAGAGAAAAAGTCTGAAAATGTTGAACATAATCGCTTGAATTGCACTTTGAGTTTACGCCAAAAAGAATGAAAAACGCAGATAAATGTAGATGAAAAACAAACATTTCTGTTGTTTAGGTTCACATATTTGTCTGTTTACTGATTCCATCGTCAACCAGAATGTATTCGGATTGAAAACTTTGCTCATCGTGTCAAGAGATCAATTATTACAAAGCCTCTAATTAATTACGTTATTGTTCAGAGTGCAGACTGCTCTTTCTTTCTAAACGACCTCTGTGTTCATTCCTAAAGTTTCGCCCGTGCAGCCGAGGATCCGGTGCAAAGTCAGACGTGTTGACAGGTGCGCTGTGGGTTGCGGGCCACGGCGATGAAGGGAGTTTAGCCCCGGTGATGGATGGAGTGTCGGCTCGGCGGTGACTGATTACAGCGAGCAGCCAGCGGGGAGACAGCGGGGGCCACACGGGGCCTCCGATCCCGGCTGGGACGAGGCCAGCGCCGGGCCGACAGGCGGCGTTTGGCTGCTCCGGAGCGAGCGCAGGACCGGCGCCAGAACAGCACAAGTCAGAAACGCAGAGCGAGTCATCAATAACACACCAGTTTGAGCTGCAGCCAGGCGGCGATCGGCGCGAAAGACAAGGAGGGGAGCGAGGGAAGAGGAAAAAAACGAGATGAGAAAGCGATAGATAGACTGGAGGTTAATGGAGAGGAGAGGGAGGCAGATATAGAAGATCTGAAGGACTCTAAGAACAGCAGCAAGGGCGTCTTTATCCAGAAGTGCAGCGAGGACAAACAGGAGCATTCTCCACCGTCTTTCATCCTCAGACAAAAGAGCGCATTACGTCCAGAACAAACATGGACGCCTTAATGGGAAGCATGCGTGTCCCCTAATGGAGCTAATGGTGGCTCTGTGAGGACGAGGATGCACTTTCATCTCAACACGTCATCACATCCATTATTTACCCGTAAAAATGGAAAGAAACACCTTTAAAAACATCCGGCGTGTTTCTGTTTCTGGTCGTTTTCATTTGCAGTTGTTTCACCACACAGGGTTGTTAACCAAACGCAAAGCAAGCTCAGATGATGGTAAATTCAAGATAAAGACAACATGGAAGCAACTTTTAAGATTTGTCTTATAACAATAATAAGACCCCTGTAGAACCCGACAGAGCTACAGGAGAACGGGACGTAACTACAGCGTCCAGATGTTCAGGCTGATGGAGACCAACACAGGATCAGTTCCAGCCAAAGGTTCATCGACGAACTACTTTAAAGGGTGAATTCTTCTGGATTGATTCTACTTTTAATGTGTTTCCGTTGTCTTAGTAGAAAAAACCTGATTTCATCTTCACATGAACCTTCTAAAAGCCACATTGATCCTGATCCAGGAAAACTTCTCCTGCATGCATCCATATGACATGACTCCAACTTTAATATCTACAAGCAGCTGTTCACCTGCATCTGATGAGGACACACACACACACACACACACACACACACACACCTACACACACACACACACACACACATTTAATTTGCAGAGAAACTTCTGTAACCTTCAGAGACACTTCTCCAGACTGCATATTGGTTTTTAACTGGTGCGCTGGCGATGCCGTTGGAAGCGCCGACGCCTAATCGAGTGTGGCAGCGTGTCGCCTGTCAGCGGCGAGCGTGGAGATCCGCCGACGGTTAATCTTGTTTCTAAAGAGCTAATTTTCTGAAATCTGGTCGCGGGCCTGATACGGCTTGTGTTTCACAGATTACTTCACAGCTAATTTCCCACCGAGCGCTCAAACGCCGGTGCCGCCCTGAAGCGTCGCGCTGCCACTCGTGCCTGCAGACACATTAGACAGAACCCCAGAGAGCCGCGATCACATCAGCGAGGACCAGAAGGGAGTTCTTAGATTTCATGCACCGAGCCAAAGCTAGTAGCCCAAAGACGCGGCGTGGACGCTAGCGCCACCTGATACACGAAATAAACGAGGCCAATTGGATCGGGGGATGTAAGCGAAGACCTCCCCGCGGCCGAGACGAGCTCATATTTTCCGACGCCAAAGCCGGTGACGCTAATTGAGCGAGATGGATTCGCTCCTACGGAGAATTGGATCAGCATGTTCCACCAGTGTGCCGCCTGCTAATTGGGAGAGCAGCGGATCGGATGTCGGCTCTGCTTCACGCTCAGACTCCGGCGTGGCGCTCCACATTAAGGGAAGCGTCCGTCACCGCCGTGTCTCCCATTTATGAAGAAACAATTATGATCGCCGCCGATGAACACGACGCTGAACACGACGCTGAACAGTGATTTAATGTGGAAGCTTCACGTCACGTGTTCTCTGCAACACGACGACCAGAAGACGAGAGAACTGGTCTGTAGCTCAGAAGGACGTCGCTGTAATGCTGCAACTCATCAAGTGAAAGTCGAATTTAGGCGATTAATTATTTTACAACAAACGGTCAAACCTGGAATCAACACGTGCACTAAACAGTGACGTACATACCATCAACATTTAGTAACCATGTGTGCCTTTTTCATTTGCTCTCCCTGAGCGCAGAATTTTTTGGTTTTTATTGAATCCAGCCGGAGCAAATGAGACCTGCAGAATAAAATGATTTTGATTCAATATTAGATTAGATTTGGTTTGATGTTCCACCACAGACGAGCAGTTCACAGACGTTTGGACGGTTTGACCAATCGTGTAGCTGCCTCTAAAACAACGTCATGTTAATTTTATACCCCAGTTAATAAAATAAAAACTCTTTTATCAGACGTCTTGAATTTTTGCCGTGTGACCGCTGGTTGCCGATGAGTCACTGACGGCGTCACGGCTGCACCAAGCACCACAGAGCTTCTTGTTTTTTACAGAATCCAATTAGAGCAGACGGTTTATTTTTGTGGTTTCGATGACGTGTTCAGATTCACTGTCAGAGGAACGTGATGGTTAAAGCGTCTGCTGGATGCACAGCACGTCAACATGTGTGTAGATGCATCTACAGTGGAGACGTGGGACTCAGAGATGCTGGTATTTTATTAGGAGCGCTCGTGGTTTCAGAGCAGCAGCGACCAGAACCTCGGCCGACCTCCACATCCTGATGAATTACAGAAAAACGGCGGCAGACGCCTGTTCATCTGCCCGGTGTTGTTTTATTTTTTTTGCTTTAAATTGTTTTTGTTCTTGCTTCAACAGGTCACCGCGGCGCCGCACAGAAGCAAAGTGAACATTTGCATATTAATGAAATCCAGATCTCGCTGTCCCACAGGTACACTTTGACCAATAGGCATTTGTTCCAGCTCCATTTGTATTCCAAAAGTCACATTAGCATCAGCTACACGACGAGGCCTTGGCTCGCAATAAAAGTCACGCTGTCAAAACAGCGGCGCACGCTCACGTGCACGCTCGGGCCGGCGTGCAGATGCGGGTTCACGTGCACGCGAAGGCAATTGAAGGCTCTGTCCTTTGCTTGGTCCCTCTCTGACATTTCTTTTTCCTCTCGATGCAGCGGGCGATAAAGACAACAGAGCAGTGATTACACTCTGAGAACCCGATTCGTCTGCTGGTGCTGGTCGATGCTGGCAAACGTGAAGCAGATTCTTGTTCTGTGAGAAGAACCACAAGACGGAGCCGCAGACAGAACCACGGGCTAGACACGGCTAGAACCTGATCTACAGACTCAGATGAGATCAGAACTCGCAGGTCCTGACAGATTTCCATCTACCTGTACACATGGTGTTGTTTATGAGAACCAGGCAGGAAGTGAAGCTTCATGGCTTTAAATCTGTAGATTTCAATCATCAAACAGTCACGATGTCACGTGTTTACCCCCCTTGAAAGGTTTTCCCTTTTATTGCTTCTCAACTTTGAATCAATATATTTTGGCTATTTTGACAAGATTTACAATAAAAAAGTGAAAATGTTTTATCTACACTTTGGAGCATTTATTTACCCTCTACCTTTATAAGCCTTCCAGGATGCTGCTGAGAAACATCCTCACGTCATGATGCTGCCACCGCCGTGCTTCATCATGATGCTGCCACTAAATGTTCTCGTATCCGTGCCCTGAATTATGCTTTTCAACAACCTTTATCAGAGTTGCTTGGAGAGTTTTTATGTCTACGCTGCTTAGTTACATCCAGAAGGACTTAAACGAGGATAAATACTTCAAAATGAAATTCTCCATGATTCAGTTGTTTTAAAGCAACAACATGAGAAAAGAGGAGTGAACACGTTTTACTGTCAGTACATTTCCACATCGTAGACACGGCTTCACGTCAGACGGGTAAATGAACGAGGTTCTGTCAGTCTCACCTGTGATTGGTGCTCCTGGCTCTTGTTCACGCCCTGCACCTGCAGCAGGTTCTTGGCCACGCCCACACAGGGAAGCCCCGACAGAACGCCCAGGTGACACGCCAGCCCGAACTCTGCAACGGTCCGGACAGAGAAAACCTCAGGTTCCAGGCAAAAGCAAATGATCCTGACACACCAGGAACATAAAGACGTGACAAAGGAACGGCATCGATCTGCACAAACACCTGATCAGATCACAAACAGCGTTCCTCTGGAGAAAACCAGGAAGACCAGCAGAACAACAACAACAACAACTATGATGATGATGACAGAAAGCTGAGGTCCTTTCTTTCTAAAACAAAATGCAGATTATTCAGAGTCATGATGCAGCTAAATTAAATTAACTTAAAGGTTCCAATCTGTGCCTATTTTCAGCAAATTAATCAAAGTCTCACATCATTTTTTTCAGTTCTTCCACGGTGGCTCAGCTGCTGCTGGCTCCGCCCCCTTCAGGAAGAAGACTCTGCGTTGGCGATCGGAGCTAAACCGTACAGCTGTGATGTGATCTGAGGACTTTATAGAGTTCTGTCTACGTCTAGTCCTGTTGTTCTGTTCCTGTAGAGGAGCAGGACTTCATGTTGTCGTCAAAAATGAGCCGACGGTGAATAAAAATGTGAAAAAAGCTTAAAAACACCCAGAAATAGGGTGGATCTCACACATCTCATGTCACATCTTCAGCTACATCTGGGTTTTTCTTTGGTTGATTATTTTGCTGTAAAACCAAAAGAAACGACATCAAAAACACCAAAAACACAAAAAACCCGACGTTCTCCTCACCTCTGTCGTGGAAGAGGCCGTTCCCGTCCACGAGCACCACCTGAGGAGAGAGAACACGACAACTAAAAACAGAAACTCCTGTTTATCGTCCTCCATTTATTCATGTCACAGCAGGAGCGCTGCTAATCCGGGCTGCTCGGGTTTCTGTTAGCGTCCCACGTGTGCCTCCCCCCAAACTTTTCTGAACAGTCTGCGGCCTGAGACGCTCCGAGATGCCGGAGCGACGCCGAGATGCTCCGGCTGATGATCCTGGAGCCAGAGGCGACTCCACAGACGTGTTTCTGATACAGAGAGCAGCGAGTGTCCAGAGCTCAAGTCAACCAGATGTGTGCATGTAGGAGCTGTGCATGACTTTTGATGATGGTTTCATTTAACTAGCCCATAATTAAAGATGATTTAATCTACTTGTACAATATTGTCGTATTTAAAGCCTCCCGACATGCAAACGTTTCATCAAAACAGTTCCTTTGTTGCTCTTTTGCAGGAACGCCTCCGATGCACTCGCTGCCGTGTTTGGAAGGTTTTAGTTTTTTTAAAATCACCAAACACCAAAATGTTGATCAGAGCCTGAAGCTGTAAAGCCACTCAGAAACACTGGAGTTCTCCATGTTCCTACTAATCATCTGTCCCACGCTGCTCCATGAACCAAATCTGAGCTTAAAGTTTTGGTGTTGTAGGTTTAAAAATTCACCAAAAATTAACTGAGCTGCAGAAACTTAATTCTACAAAAAGCAAAACAAAAACCAGCAGCTCGGCTCAGACGTGTCGTGACTGAGAAGATTTAGTCGATTAATTTAAAAACAACAACAGACAAATCAGATCAGTGTCACACAAGTTTGAGTATTAAGGTCTTCACACAACCATCAGAGCAAGAGAATGTAGAGAATGTAGAAGGTCTGAGCCTGAAGCGTCCAGCAAAGTTCAATGTGTGTGTTTTCATTTCTTTACTCCTCATGCGTGTACAAACTTAAACTTAAAGTGAAGCTGAGACTTGTGGTGGCCGACCTGAGGCAGAAGCTCCGGCTGGTTCTCCTGCAGACGCTGCAGAGCCTCCAGGAGGAACGGCGTCTCTCTGAAGGCCAGGAAGCCGGCCACGTACGGCGCCGTCAGGGTCACCATCCGGCTGTCCTCGTACAGCAGCTGCAGGGACGAGACGAGACCCGGCGTCAGGCTTTAACCTCTGAGAGCAGCTCGATCAGTGCTGGTTCTGTTACTTCACTGCAGCCTCTGTGCTCCGTCAGCAGCAGCCTCCTCCCTACGCTAAAGTCAAACATCTGTACGAGCTGATCAAACACCTTCTGTGAAGCTACCTGCTGCCTGAGGAGACGGACGCAGCAGCACATTATGTTTAAACCACTTCATCTGCAAAGAAAACGACCAGACACGAAGGTCCAGTTTGGTTCCGTGAGCGTCAGTCCGTGCAGCTACTGAACGTCTCACGCAGCTGATCAGAGTCGATCGATTCTAACAACCAGCAACGTCCTCGTTCTGTCAAATGAAAACAGCACCGGACAACAAAACTTCCTCCATCCGCCTCCTCCTGCATCAGCTGGACGGAACCTCCACAACCAAACTGTTAAAACGACGTCAGTCACAGCAGCTGCAGCTCGTTTCATCCTAAAAACACTAAATAATAAAAATAATCATCTGTGTTTCTATTCGATCACCGTCCTTCTGTAGGAGACACCGTCCACGTCTGAGTGAGTTTCTACTTTAAAACACTTCTGGTGGTTAAAAGCTGCTTAAATTTGAACCATTTTTTATCCACACTAATAGAAACTATTTTGTTCTTTTTAATTTATTTCCAAGTCAGAGAAGAAGAATATTTTTGGGTTGAATTCTCAAAAACACAAACAACTGAAACAGTAAAAACCGTCTGTTTTAATGCTTTAAAGTCTGAGTTTCATCACAGTTTGCAGGTTTCTACTAAATAAACTTGTTTTTTGGCACCAAACTCGTCTAAACTTCTTCTTCTTGAAGACTCAGCAGCAGATTCACCAGTTTTCTCACCAGAAGCTTCTTTACGTCAGACAACAAGAACATCTGCATTTATATATGAACAGTATTTATAGCTCACACCAGAGACTAAACCTCATAAACACATTCCTGGTTTGCTCCTCTGTGCTTCTCTCTTTTGTTTACTTCAGCAGCAGACGATCAAACTCCTGAGAGGACCTCCATCAGCGTCCTGCAGAGCGTCAGCAGGGTTCCTGCTCAATCCCAGCCAGCTCCAAGACCTTCAAACGCTGCCGAGTCCCACCAGAGCTGTGCACAAAGGAGGCTTTTTATTACAACAAGAAGTGCGTCAAACAAAGCTGGACCAACTCGGCGGCGGCCTCAGGTGGCCTTGGATGGCCTCAGACGGCCTCTGATGGCCTCTGGTGGCCTCAGGCAGCCTCTGGTGGCCTCAGACGGCCTCAGACGGCCTCAGGTGGCCTCTGGTAGCCTCTGGTAGCCTCTGGTAGCCTCAGGTGGCCTCTGGTGGCCTCTGGTGGCCTCTG